TGACATACATGCCGGCCCTCCAGTCAGAGTGATGAGATAGTAGGAATCTAATATAAAGACAGATGGCAGGTACATATGCTGGCAGTATTTATTTATTTTAATTATAGTGTATGTATAGCCAAAAACTTTTTGGATAGAGTAGGGAAGAGTAAAAACTACTCTCTCTCTTCCACTGTGGAGAATTCCCATTACTTCCAGTCCTGGGGACACAACTGGAACTGAAATGAATTCCCACCTTTGATGGTCATCACTGGAACATATAGAGAGGGTGAATCTCCCCAGCTGTGACAGAGTGGACAACAAAAGCTTGAGGGGAGGGTCAGACTCTTCTCCATTTTGTCCAAACCTGTAACAAAAAAGTTTTACCTACACTTTGAGGACTGATTAAAGTTTTTTTTTTTTTTGCCTTGGGGACTCCAATGGTGGTTGTTGGTGTCTGATTCATACCAAGGTCATCTTGGTCATTCTTCTAGGGCCGTTACAATATCAAGTAATGGTGTCCTAATGTAGAAAAAATAATGGGAAACTCTTCATGGAATGACTCCATTGTTAGGCCTTCTTGCACAATGTAGTCAATGGTGGCCGGTATAACCCAACACCACCCATCGTATAGTAGGTTAGAACAGGTGGCCCTTATCGCTTTGCTGTTCATCCTGGCACAATTACAAGCAGTCAATGTTCCTCAATATTTTATGATTACAGAACTGTCCATTGTAGAGCATGTCGGAGTCTCTTTAAACTCTATAGTACAAGTCTCTGATGAAGGAGACTTTCAGGTCCCTGAAACACGTTGGATGTTCTTTGCTTTCTTGTGGTTAGCAGTGGAATTATTGAACACCTTGGACTCTCCAGACGCTCTTCTTGACCTGATCTATAAACTAGGTTAGGATGGAATCGGCCTTTAAGCATAGAATTTTTATTCCAATGTGAAATGAAAGGATCAAATGCGCCCAAGCTCCGTAAAATCACTCTTTTAAACAAACAAGGTATTAGAGGTCACCTATAAATTTCAGTGACTGTGCATTTTGTTTGCTTTATCTTAATGAGCCTTCGTTAATCCTTTTGACATTGTTCGGCATTAAAGATGTAAGGGATCTGCACGAGGTGGTGTGCGTTCAGGCGGAGGGGCAGCGCCGATGGCAGGTGGAAGTGGGTCAGCCGTCTCCAGGGAAGGGCATACATAAATCATGACCGCTTTTTTTATCTTGGACAAACTTACTCAAGAGAAACAGAGCAGGTGACATTGGTTGGTGAACTGCGCCCCGTCCTGAGAGTCACAGAGCATTAATAAACCATTCTGACACCCGGGTACAGCAGAATGACAACTCTCAGCGTCCATTATTTACGGATAAAGCACCAACGTATGCCAAAGCCAACGCCAATTTCTTCAATGAGGATCAAAAGAATTTGGTCCAGGATGCAGGCAACTGAGATAATTTCCTGTCTGGGAAGGTGGCAAGCAAGAGAATTTCCTGTCCAGGAAGGGGACAACTGAGAGAATTTCCTATCTGGGAAGGTGGCAAGCGAGAGAATTTCCTGTCCAGGAAGGGGACAACTGAGAGA